GACATGTGAGGAGTATGCTGCATGGAAGAAGGCAAAGAGAGACATTCAACCAAATGTATTTAAGTGTATGTACGGATTGGCGGCGTCTATAAGAACAGGCTGAAGAAGAGAGCTGATGTGCTTCATGTGAAAGAGAAGGGTGCAGCTGTAGGTGTTTGGATTCTGTCATTAATAGCAATAGTCCACATTGTGATGTTTAATCGTTATACCTCCCACTGTCGCTGCATCGGTCACTTTATATATGTGTTGTATTAAGAGTTTGATTTGAGTCCTTTTGTTCCTCACACTTTTATTATGTGCAATAACCATCTAAAGGTACTTTCAATCTATGAGACCCATATCATGAAAAGAAAATGTGACTACATGTGTCTTTTTGTTTTTGTTGTGTCCTATTATTATTGCTTCTAAGAACCATCTAAAGGATTTAATTGGAGAGATCAAAGGTCATTTCTCAGGCTGCTCTAATCCAGACCCGGTCATGATATTTAGTTCACATGAAAAAAAAAAAGGGAAACGTTGTACAAAAAAAAAAGAATATGTGAAGTCGTTGTGTTTTTAGCATTGTGCAAATGATGTCAAAAGCCAAGAGCTGGTAGAAGATCTTCAAGTATGACATATTTTGGTTTAAAGGAAAAAGTACTGTTTACTGCAGGAAAGAAACAGCTCCAACTCCACAACACAGGAGAGATAATAGGCAGGGCTGTAGTGATTTACAAGTTGAGGGAAAGTGTTGGCCTGAGGTCTTAAGGCCTGTGGTACCAAAGACAACACAGATCCGCCTTTATCTGCTGCAGCAATGAAAACGTCAAACGTGCACTTCACAGGGATGTTGTGTTGTACGCTGACTTGTGCGGGTGTTTGGAAAAGACCTGGTTCTGATTTCTAAATTTTGAATTCTACATTCTTTATTCCTTTAGATTATTTTTCCTCATTTGCTTCATATTCCTGAATAGAAAAACGATCACTGATTGATAAGATTTGGCTCAAAGGAGAAACTGAATAGTCGCTCTTAATCGATAGTAAAAACGATAAAGTGTGAACTGTATACGCTCTGGATGTGGCTCTGCTGAATGCAGATAAGGAAGGTATGCTCAAATGTAGTGTTTCCCCCCCCACTCTTTTCTGTACTTTTATTTATCCTGTCACCATTTCACCTTTTTGTCACAATCAGCCACCTGACTTCAGTGCACTCGATCATGCATGTTTAATAATAAGCAGAAAGCTACGACTGTCTGACTGAGCTTAAGTAATGAAATGAAAGGCTGGTAAACACGACTTATTCTTTCCATATTTGTCTGATATCATTTCTTAATCATTAACAGTTTTATGGTTTCTCAACTCAAAAAATGCAACTTCTGTATACTGAACGCTGTTCCAAGGATTATAATAAAGATCATTTATAACCTTTGCCCTTTGCTCAGTGATTCCTTAAACATTGGTTTTAACTTTAAAGCTCCTGTGACGGGTTTTTTGCTTGTTATGAAACAGGCTGAAACTAACAGTGAGAACCACTGATATAGAGGCACTATATCAGTGGTTCTCAACTGGTCTAGCCTCACGACCCAGAACTCAACTCCCTTGTAAAAATTGGGACCCAAATTTTGGATACTTTTCAGATAATTAACGAGTTAATACAAAATTGTAAAAAACTAACAGGTTTATTGCTGCATAGGCTTTTTGACAGTTGTTTTTCCAGGCACACATTCTGCAACCCATTGAAAACAGCTCCCGTTTAATAGCAGTTTAACCAAAGCTTATATTAGTCATTTAGTGAGGCATCTCAGCAAACACTGAGAGCAACAAGGAAAATGTTTTGAGACTCCGACAGGGACTTGGATTGATAGCTTTAATCACAATGGGGCTCTCTAAAATCTCACAGGACATAGATCCTTAAAGACTGGTAGCAAGATAAGGGAAGGTTAGGAAACTAGATTTAAGACTTGGGCCTTCAGCTACACCCGTAATGGCTGTAGGAGAGAGAAAAATATTTAGCTGGGATCAGTGTTGCAACAGCAGGAGTAGGAGTCAGTAAGGAAGTATAGAACACCAAATAATGTTAAATCATTGTTAGTATTTAAGTCCTGAACTTTAAAATGTGTTAATGTTTGTTAATCAGATGGATTACATCACTCTGTTTTAACTAATCTCATTAAACCTGGATTAACGTTACCAATTATAGTCTTGTAGGAGGATACATTCTTTACAATACCTTTGTTTAACTGAGGCTGGATTACATCGTAGACAAGAGGGACCCCTGCTGACAAAAAAATATATATATACAAATTTCCCACTGGGACAATAAAGTTCATCTCATCTCTATCTACTAAACAGTTCTAACTCAGATTAACTTTTCAGTAAAGTCAGAGCGTTAAGTGCATAGCAATGAAGAGGGTTTTTATTGGCTATAAACCCTAGAGTCTCAGCACCTTTTTACATTGTTTTTTGGGCTTTTATTAGATGGGGAAGCTGAAGAGATTTAGGAAATGCAGGGAGAGAGAGAGAGAGAGAGAGAGAGAGAGTGGGGGATGACATGCACCAAAGAGCGTCAGGTCCGGTAGTCGAACCTGCAACTTGTGCAACCAGGACTGCAGCCTCTGTGCATGGAGAGCCTGCTCTACCAACCAAGCATAACCAGAAACCCACCCTCAGCACCTTTTAGGCAGGCTTATGATCTTATTGTCCAATCAGTTGCTGGTAATCATTATAAAGGTGTTGAGAAAGTGTTGCATTTCAGCTGACATTGCCATGCCAATGACGGAGTTTACTTTTGAGTCCTGAACCCTCTAAACAGTGTTGAAGACAGCTGGCACACGGGTTGAGACAGGAGACCGTTAGATTCATAAATCTTAAAACCTCCTCGCTTACAGGACAAAGAGAAATTATCTTTGGTATCCACAAAGGCAACCCCCTCACAGCGAGCCGGAGTTGTTATGACAACACAGAAGAGGTGATGCTCTTTGAAGGACAGAATGTCCTGCAGAGACAGATTTGCATACAAGGTCTAAGTCAAGCACACAAACCTGAATGGCCTTTATGTTGACAAGGTTAACATGTTTACAGTTGTAGCCTTCATTTGCATAAGGCAGATCTATCATCTGATTTGTTTGGTTTCACCATAGCCTGACCTGGGACAACTCATGGTGATCAAGCGTCAATACTGAATCAAGGTCGAGGGTATCCTAGTTATTTACATTCTCTAAATACAGGCTGAGTCTGTGCATTCTGAATCATTAACACTTGGGAAGGGGCTTTCTTTCTTTCGCCTCAAAATATCCGCAATAAGCTCACGGGGCCCTGACACTGAATAAAATCGGTTGGTTACTTTGCTTCCATGTGATGGTGTTTACAGTGCTCTTCCTGAGGACTGACGTTCTTCCAGAAATGCAGTCGACCTTCAAAACCAAAGTCATAGAAGTGACATCATCTGCGCCAGGGCAATTGAATCAAGAGTGGAGCAGAAGACAGATTTAATCAAAGACTCATGTAAGAATTGTAGAACTGCAGATACAGTTCATGATTTCATCCTGACCCTTTTTAGAATAGAGTGTCATTAAGAGTGTTTAAATAAAGTATGCTTGATGAATACATTAAATTAATAATCACTGGAATAACGTGCACACGGTTCTTGAAAATAAATAGTTTTGCAAAAGAAATGTTGATTCAGTCGTGTCAGGCAGTAGTAATAGCCTTGTCTGTTAGGTCTGTGGATTTCATCATTGCCATGGTTGGAGGCATTCTTACACTTATTTTATCAGCATACAGGAGAGTCATTCACGTAGATCCATTCGCAGCCTCTGCTGACTTCTAAGAATCTATAAGATTGCAGGCCTTTCTCAAAAAGTGGGGCCAAAGCAGGCAATAATTAGGAGTTGGACTCCTCACTCATATCAACTTATTTTTCTAAGAATCCGTGCCTGTGTGCCTTCAAACATTAACTTGGAGACGAGGAAGTGCTCTGAATAGTTAAGCACTACACCAGTATTGCAAGTTAGGCCATGTGGTTACCATTAAATACCTAGTTCAAATTTTCCAAATTGGACAAGCTTTTTCTATTTTTTGAGGTACATAGAAATGACTTTCATGGAAATGAAAAAAAGAGAAGAGTTTTCATGTCTTAATGAAATAATTACAATAACCTTTTAAGTGCTTTACAAGGACAGTAATAATAGTAATAATAATAAAACATAAAACAGGCATGTCATTAAATCATAGGCAAAGGGGAAAATAAGTAATAAAAACCACATATCTACCACATGTAGCCTTTATGGATGTAGCTAAGCCATCTAATTAAACACACAGACATTCGTTTGCAACCTCAAATGGTTTAGATTTATTGTTTATTACATATCGATAATATCTGTCTCTCCATACTGAAATCTGTTCTGCACATGTTAAATTTACAAATTTCCCCTGTACTCATGTTCACTTCATTTGTCTGTCTACTCGCCGTTATATTGTATAGTTTCTGCTTATAATATGTCTACACTCATGCACTTTAACTTATGTCAATACTGTCCATTTACGACTCTGTTTTTGCACATTTACATTTAATCTTCCATATTTAATTTACAACTCTGTTTTTGCACATTTACATTTAATCTTTCATATTTAATTTACAACTCTGTTTTTGCACATTTACTTTTAATCTTTCATATGTAATCTTCCTATTTAAAACTAGTAATGCTTAGTTAAATCCTGGTTGTATATATTCACATTCTTAGTTTTGATATTTTTAGTACTTATTTACTTTGTATTTAATATTATATTATGTTTAAATTTGCTAACATTGTGTATTTTTTTTACTCATATTGTGTGTTTGGATAACCTGCTGCTGTAACGCCACAATTTCCCAGTTTGGGATCAATAAAGTGATTCTATTCTACCTTTCAGACGAGCCAATAGTTTTCAGTCTTCCGGGTTCGTTTACCTTGAGAGTGATCTCGGAGCTCTATCTTGCGCTTTATTTCATCTTTGATGTGGACCGGCATTTTCCCACAACACCCTGCTGCTGCTCGCTCAGATGACGAAAATGGCGGACAACTCGTCTTCGGTAAGGTTTTCGAGAGATGTAATATTATTTCTGAGACATTGGCTTGGTTTCGGGATGTGTGTTAACACGTTGTTTCACACAGGTCGAGATCGTCGAGGGCTGTCGCCTCCCCGTTCTTCGTAAAAACCAAGAACACGAGGACGAATGGCGTAAGTATCGTCCGGTTGTTTTTCCCCAGTGCTAAGCTAACTAATGCTAACTGTGGAGCCTCAGCTGTTGTTAACGGACGCAGCGGCCTCCAGTTAAAGCGCTGGAAACATCATCACACCAACAACAACACATGAAGCCCTGCAGTGTCATTTACATCTGTTTTAATGATAGTTAGAACTCCTCTGTGCTGTCCAACTGCAAACATACAAGAACACAGTTATGTCAACGTTATGTATTTGTTATTATAACGTTTCACACACAATGTTTATATGTTTTTATTTATGCATAATTCAAGATTTTTATTTGTCACCTGCTCATACAGATGTGCAGTGAAATGTAAAAGACTGTTCCGCAAGGCCGTGCAATAAACACTCAAATTACTAATACACATGTATACAGTAAACTAGAAATATAATGTAAAATTTAAAAAATAAATGTTTGGATATACAGAATATAGAATAATGTAAACAGTGTAAAGTGTCAGTGTGTAAAGAAATATTTGAATATATAAAATACAAAATATAGAATAATGTAAACAGTGTGAAGTGTCAGTGTGTAAAGAAATATTTGAATATATAAAATACAGAATATAGAATAATGTAAACAGTGTAAAGTGTCAGTGTGTAAATAAATATTTGAATATATAAAATACAAAATATAGAATAATGTAAACAGTGTAAAGTGTCAGTGTGTAAAGAAATATTTGAATATATAAAATATAGAATAATGTAAACAGTGTAAAGAGTCAGTGTGTAAAAAAATATTTGAATATACAAAATACAAAATATAGAATAATGTAAACAGTGTAAAGAGTCAGTGTGTAAAGAAATATTTGAATATACAAAATACAAAATATAGAATAATGTAAACAGTGTAAAGAGTCAGTGTGTAAAAAAATATTTGAATATACAAAATACAAAATATAGAATAATGTAAACAGTGTAAAGTGTCAGTGTGTAAAGAAATATTTGAATATACAAAATATAGAATAATGTAAACAGCGTAAAGTGTCAGTGTGTAAAGTGTCCAGGGTGTCAAAGTGCAGATTGGAATATGTGGTGTGTGTGCGTCGTGTAATCACAGTTCTGTTTTGTTTAGTTCTGTTTATGTTTTTAACTGAGGAGAGTGGAGTTAACAGTCTGGACAGCCTGAGGAAAGAAGCTCTTCCTGAGTCTTTTCTGTGTTCGACTTGATGTGTCGAAGGCGCCTGCCAGCGCCTCATTGCGTTTATTGGAAATCCATCTGATATCAGGCTGCTGTTTACAACACCGATAAATCTCATTTTAACAACGTTATTACTCTGACGCCGCAGCTTAAACACAACTTATTTAATGTCCTATTAACTTGAGTGTTTCCCAGACCTGCCTATCTTATTTTTACCCTTTAAGATAGAGAGGTAGAATCTTTATTATCATTGTATAAAAGGACACAACAAAACTTAAAATATATTTGTGGTGATATGAAAGAGAAATATGCAAAAGTGGCCAGAGCAAATGCTGTTCAGTGAATAAATGATAATAATAATAAATAAATAGACAGTCATGGTGACTGAAATAATATATACAGTTGTTATTTTTGCAGTGACTGATTAATTAAACAAATATAAATATAGAGATATAGTGCAAATAAGTGACGCTATGGTGCAGTGACAGAGTATATACAGTTATCATTGTGCAATGACTGGATGAGTAAATAAACAGTTTTAGTGCAATAAATAAATAAATAATTAATAAATAAACAGTTAAAGTGCAGTGACTGAGTAAAGGTGAACATAAAGATGATAACATTTACCACCTCCTGTTTAAGGTTTCAGATTACAATAAGCGACTACCTTTGTATTTTATAATTTGGAGTAGAAAAACTCTTTAAAAAAAAATTAGGATTTTTTTTTTTTATTGAGAAAGTTTTTCTTATACATAAGATAATTTTGATACACCTGTACCAGTGTTTGTCCTGCAGTGTGGGGTGCAACATTAGAATGTATTGGATTATTTTTTTGTTATGTTTCTATAAAGCATAATAATAAATTATGCTTTATAGAATGTTTTTTTTTTTTAATGCACCTGTTCCTCGTGAAATAAACTGTATTTGTGAAAAACAATTAAAATACATACCTTACAATCCTAGGATGATAGCAGTTCCTCACATGAAACTGAATTGAAATTGAAAGCCATGATTGTCATTAGCGGGTTACTACTAAGATTAAGATGAACAAGATTTGCAGTATTTCGCTTTCTTTTGTTAATACTTTTTGGCTCTACTCCGTACTTAAATACTAATTGTTTCAGCCCCACTGAAACCCTAGTTAGGCGAACGCTGCATGAAAAAGTTTTACTTGCATATTCTAATGACTCCTAAGTAGCATGTTGATAAATCAACCCAACATTTTTTGGCATCCTATAACAATATTCTTTTCATATAAGCTCAGCACAGTATATGTTTTATCATGACTTTCTCCTTTTAATTTTGCAGCTTTGGCTGAAATTCTTAGTGTGAAGGAGGCTTCTTCAAGAAAGCTTTACTATGTCCACTACATTGACTGTGAGTATAGTTTTGGTGTAACTTATTTTTCTTTGACATTTTAAATGTTGTTGTCATTTTTGTCAATGGAAATGTATTGCAAAGATACGTTACCGCTAAAACAAAAACAAATAATTGAATACATGACTTTTGTTTATAGTCAACAAGCGCCTGGATGAGTGGGTCACAGGAGACAGGCTGGACATGAAGAAGCTTCAATTCCCTAAAAAAGAAGCTAAAACGCCAACCAAGAATGGACTTCCAGGCTCCCGTCCAAGTTCACCTGAGAGAGAAGTGGTGAGTGATTGTTTACGTCGGACTCCCAGCATTGTAACATTATATTCAGGGGTATAGCAACATTTTTATAGCATTGGGAAGACATCATTTATAATCTATAAATCTACATTTTAAATCCCTTTTGTCAGTAGACTTTCGAAGAGCTTTAAGACACTAACAGACTTTCTATGATGTGCAAATAGTAGATATAAGTATTCATGTGTAACATCAGTTGTTACAAGCACAGAAGACTAAACAGGTTGTGAACCAATGTTGTAAAGTATTCTGTAAGTTTAAAGAAACACTGAAATCATCAGTTCTCAGTTTTAAATGTTCTGTATTTTAAATGTTCTGTATTTATCTCATTTGCAGTCAGATTTTGATTGCAAATGATTCCCATAGCAACTTTTCATTTTAATGTTGCGTTATTGAGAAGATGAATGACATTTAACTGTCTCCCGTTTTCCTTTCTGTTCAATTCAGAGGAAGAGTCTAGAGCTCAACGTACCATCTGCCACAGCTCCTTCCAGAGGCAAAACCCTCCCCACACCGGTACAACTTGATTTGAGCCATTCTCCAAATGACTTGAGCCCTTGTTTGAACCTGGTGTTAACATGCATCTTGTGTGATCATACAGCTATCGAGTCATGCTGAACTGCATGGAAATCAGGAAATAAACAACCATGACACAAAAAAAGAAGAAGAGGATCCAGTTGTGCAGATCACATCTGGAAGTGAATTAACAAACAGTGTATCCAAATGTTTGTCAGGTGTTTGCACTGGACTTGTCAAACCACGTTTGAGCTTCAAATCTGTCAAGGTAGCCGGCCTTCTCTGTTTATGTTGTGATCTCTCATGTTGTGCTCAAATGGGTTATTGAATTACTTTAAATTTTCTGCAGATCTTTGATTGTTTACTGAAATTCACATGTACTTAAGCTGCTAAACATGAATTGGTAAAATGTTGAAATTGTTGATGCATGTTAATTGGCACTTTTGTAGGGAAAAGATCCAGAGGACACTTTGTTCCTTTTAGATTTAATTGTAAATCCAATGCAGTAACAGCTGACCAGTTTCTGCTGTATCTTTAATACCAGGTTTGAATCGGGTAAATTAACACTAGTTTCACCTGGAGTTTATAGAAAATTGTTAAAACTAAATCATAATGATGTGCATTAGCTATTAAAAAGACAGTCTCAGCTTTGAAGCATTAAATGTGTTTTTTTTTTTTTTTTAGAAGTTAAACGTGCGCTGATCTGACTAGAATTACAGAATATAGTGTGGTAACACAAAAATAAATGGGATTCAGATGTGTTTCTGTGTGCTCTCATTTAAAGCTGTCTAACACTGTTTGTTTGTTTACTACAGAAGAGGAAAGTAGAAGCCGTCCCCGTGGCGACTCAGGTACCCCCGGCCACCCCCGTGCCCTCCCTGCCAAGTTCAGCTGAAGCCTCTCAGGCATCTGTTTTTCCTGCTGCGAGGGAGACCAACACCTTCAAGTCCCGGGAAGACCATGAACAGCTCTCCTCGCTCACAACGGTAAAGACGATCCTCTGTGTCAGTTAAATATTTGAGTTGAAGTTTTTACCTGTCGTCTGATTTTAAACCTATTATAATCTTTAAACATTAGAACGGCACTGCCCGGCGGCTCATCCCCTCACAGCCTGGGAGGAAAAGGAAAGCTAACTGCGGAGGACCTGACGAGGTATTCAACTTTTTAATAAGCTACTTATTTTTTAAATTCATTTACTATGTTTACCGGGCCTACACCAGAGTATCTGCTTCTGTTTTTGTTTTGAATTTAACCTCTTGTTTTGAGTACTGCAAACTAAAATACCTTCCAGAAATGAATGTAGTTGAATGTTTGCTGGTGACAGGAGAAGCTTCACTGATTCTACACATTAGTCAGAGATCTTATTAAATTCATCTGATTCATCAATCATACTCTTAAAAGCCAAACACTGTTTCTAATGGTATTAAAGTTTCTCCATTTTATAATTTACAGCAATAAACATAGTGACTTATACCCTACTACCAGTTATCAAAAGGTCAAAAATACTGTTAAACCAAGTAAACATGTGTTAGTTTTTTTCAGCTGGATTTTCAGCCCATTTTGAGATGAATGGTTTCTTGTTTTGTAACATTTTAAAAGTCACTACATCTATTAAATTAAATTATTTTTAATGCTGTACACAAGCGTATTATGTATCTCACAAAAAAGACCTTAGAAGTTTATTTCTTCTGAGAGATTTTTGATGTAGCCACGCTTACACTTGTATGTGCTAATAGATAATACATACACTGTGTAATACATCTTCTGATGACGGAGGTCAGGGGCTCAGAAGGTTACAAAAAACTTGACAAACCCACATGAACTAATCGGTCATAACATTTGTCTTTGCTCTTTTCCTCTCACTATCTATTGGCCAACCTGTCTGTTTGATAGCCAGTGTTGCTCGCTGGCCTCTAATGAACACAGCCTGAAATGTACTAAAACTAAGAGTTCCATTTAGCTTTCAATCTGTCCCTCAATCAGACTGTTCAGTGTCAGTTAGATTCATTTTATTCCCCTCTTTAGTTTTCAAAAGCTTGTGTTTTTGTGTCTTTTTCTTCTAGATGATAAAGGTTTTACAGTATAACAAACCTCAAAGTGCCAGTGTCTTTCTACCACCACCAGAGGTCTGTTTTATTTCCTTTTTATTGCTTTTTGATTCTGTGTTACTGTCCAAATGATCTCTGCCTTAGTGGGTCCAATAAAATGGAGGTGCTGTTTACCTCTGACCCCAGTTTAGTGATTATGATTGCATGCACAGCCATTCTGATAATACATGTTCTGTGTGGAAAAACTTCAAATCCATACATTCCATTTGTGAAATGAATTAATATAAAGGTGTGACTTTTCACCACAAGGATTCCCAGGACAGCTCGGATGGCATCCCGACTGCGCCACGCATGACGGGCAGTCTGGTGTCTGACCGCAGCCATGACGACATCGTCACCCGGATGAAAAACATAGAGTGCATCGAGCTGGGACGTCACAGGCTGAAGCCCTGGTACTTCTCCCCGTACCCACAGGAGCTCACCACACTGCCCATCCTCTACCTCTGTGAATTCTGTCTCAAGTACCTCAAGAGCCTCAAGTGTCTGCAGAGGCATTTGGTAAGAATCCTTAGAGTCACCAGCATAAGCCTTTAATCTCTCACTGCTTAGATTTTCTGACATTGACCACATCTTCTCGTGTCCATCATATTTCACAGACAAAATGCAATCTCAGACATCCTCCAGGCAACGAGATCTACCGTAAAGGCACCATCTCATTCTTTGAGATCGACGGCAGGAAAAACAAAGTCAGTGAAAATATATTTGTCTCTCTCCTTTACTCTTTTACAGTATCTTCATACATTTTTCCATAAACATCTTTGCTATATTTGTTAATTTTCATGCATTTGTTATGTTTCCAGAATTATTCCCAGAACCTGTGTTTACTTGCAAAGTGTTTCCTGGACCATAAAACCTTGTACTACGACACAGACCCTTTCCTCTTCTACGTAATGACGGAGTACGACTCCAAAGGCTTCCACATAGTTGGCTACTTCTCTAAGGTACCCAAAAACGTTCAATACTTCTCTGACACATTCCCCTCTTTATCTAGAGGTTCCCAATTTTAAACATGTTATTGTCTTGTCAGGAAAAAGAGTCGACTGAAGATTATAATGTTGCCTGCATCCTGACGTTGCCTCCGTATCAGCGGAGAGGTTATGGCAAATTGCTTATTGAGTTCAGTAAGTGCTGTGTAGATTTTGCTCTTTCATCCTTCCTTCCTTCTTTGGTCATTTTCTGTGTTTACCATACCTGTGCTTATAATCTGTTCACTTTGTGTGTTCATCAGGTTATGAGCTGTCCAAGGTCGAAGGGAAGACAGGAACTCCTGAGAAGCCGCTCTCCGACCTCGGCCTGTTGTCCTATCGCTCGTACTGGTCGCAGACCATCCTGGAAATCCTCATGGACCTTAAACCTGACAACGGAGAGAGACCCCAGATAACCATCAAGTGTGTGATTGTTCATATTTTTTTGTCTCAACCTTTCAGATCTGCAGTTTAATGATGAGGTTCTCTAATCATTTGGTTATGTTTTGTACCTGCAGTGAAATCAGTGAGATCACCAGTGTAAAAAAAGAAGACGTCATTTCGACACTTCAGTACCTCAATCTCATCAACTATTACAAGGTGAGAAATGTAAACTGAAATCTAAATGATGCAATCTGCTGCAAAACACTTGTTATATAAAAACCGCTGGCCTTGTTACTACTCTTTACACAACTTTCAACTCGACTGTTGGATGAGAGTAGCTCATCACTCTCCGGCTGTCTTAGTTCTATCTTATCAAACAGTATTTAATGTCACGTAGCACCGTGTCCTAACAGCACGCAGGCGTTGTATGTGGCGTCGCATGATCGCATGATCGCACACCGGCTGTCCACACTGCATGCATTAAGTGTTTAATTCTCTGCTCTGTGAATTTCAGTTTCCCCTTGCAAACAATATGACATCTAGTGCTTTTGTATTGAAGGTGGAAAAACAAATGTGTGTGGTGATTTGTATTGACGAGCTGCTCGCTCAAATCACAACACTCACAGGCTCGTCAATTAACGGCTCGCGGTGAGCCGGAGCAAAGTTTTTCTCCGGTGTTGCTGTTAGGACAGGCTGTAAGGCAGGAAAACTGTCAAGTTTAGTCCAGTTGTGTTCAAATAAAAACAAATATTCTTTTAAAACCGCCATTGCCGATGGAAATGTAGAAATATCACAACAGAGGAAGTGATGTTTAACTGAATATCATCTCGCTGTGACCGGCTGAAATTCACAACATCAGTCGTTCTCCTGTGATGTTGCTTTGATTAAACGGTTATACAAGTAGTAGTAAGAAGTAATAAACAACTGTTGAGTCTGTTGTGTGATTCAGAGGTATCAGTTTGATTAATAAAGACAAACTCTGTCTGCTGTGTGAGTAAGTTCAGATATTCAGAACAGGCTGAGTGATGCATATGGTGAAAAGTATAAACACACTTAACAGTTTGCATTAAGCTGACATGTCGTGTAACCAGCGGTGGTCAATTTATTAAACAAATCATTGCAGTATGCTCCTGAAAGGTTTTAAATACTTTGTCCTTGTCTTGTCTCTTCAACCCAGGGTCAGTACATCCTGACTCTGTCAGAGGACATCGTGGATGGGCATGAAAGAGCGATGCAGAAGAGACACTTACGCATAGATCCAAAATGTCTCCACTTCACACCTAAAGACTGGAGCAAGAGGGGCAAGTGGTAGAGTCCTGACCTGGTTCACTGAACACCTTCTCTAAACTCCAGACAACAGACTCGATGCAAACTGTGGATCAGATGAAGGTTTTTATCAGGCCGTCTCATCAAGAACATGGAAAACCTTCCTGACCCCACAAGAGACTGCGCTTCAGAAAAGAAGCAAGGAATGAAAAAAATTCACTCAAAACAAGTCTGTAAGCTTTTCTTGTGAATATTCATCATACAATTGAAGGCTCTTGGCGTCCACAACAAGAAAACACAACACATCGTTTACTTTTTAAAGATCCTGTTTGTGACATTTAAAGTGAGACACATCTGTTTAAAAGTGTAAATTACATCCTGAGATGGCAAACTTACTAAATTATGGAAACAAGATGGTGTTTTTCTTTTTTTAAAAGACAGGGAATTTAGTTTCTCTGATGAATCCACACGCACGTCAGTCCCACAAAGGTTTTCTTCTCAAACTCCTGAAAGACTTGAAATGTCTTTTTTGTCTTTGCCCATAAAACCTGTTTTTTCTTTCTAAATCGTTTCTATCTGCCATAACAGAAAAAAAGTCAAATAACATCCTGAAAAATATTTTGATATTCCAAAAATGTTTGGCTGTAAACATGTTAAAAGAAACTTCCCTGTGGGACCATTTCCTATCTATCTTTCATTTTTGCACACATCTTAAACTAAAGAGCCCTAAGTGAAGAAAAGATACTTAAAACACTCATGCGATGTCTTTACACTCCAACATGAAGTGTTTTATTTTCTTTGGGATCTAGTGTTTGTAAGCTTCAAAGCGTCCCTCAAAACACCTCCTAAATTAATTAAATGAATTGAAACAAATCCCACTGATGAACTGATCATTGTTACGTTTGCCTTTACACTCCTTACCATTTGATATAATGAAACCTAATTCTCAGCCCCACTCTAAAAGTCAGTTCATCATGATTCCCTTTGAGTGCCTGAATATCAACATATCCTTAAGTTATTAGCTCATAGGTTTAGTGACCTTCATTATGGGTCTCCAGAAAGAATATGTACCTTCAGTGAAACAGTGTGGATGCAGACATGTAATCCATCAAGACCTTCAGTTGTAATACTTTCCCAAAACCACAAAAGCCAACTCATGTTTGTCTCACAGAAGAAGCTCTGCTCCTCATTTCCCTTTCATCTGAATGGATGGGAGTATCTATGCTCTTTGTTTGTGATCATTTCTTCTTTTTCTTCCACATTGTCTTCGGCCATGATCATCTGTACAGTGTGCAATGAGACAAATCACCTCCTTAAGTTAAACACATGTTCCCTGTACTTGTACATACTGGACCTGATTGTACAAAGAAATAGCTTAGAAGACAAGAAGCCATGTTGAACTGTTAGAGGAATGTAAATTTTGTGTACAGTTGTCATTTTCTTTTTTTTACTTAATATAAACTAACTGAACGATGCGAACAGAAAAAAAAATATGTGAAAGTGTTAAACGACTTTCAGTTTGTACTTTGTGTTTCATGTCAAAGATTCACTGTTGAAATGATTTAGTATATCTTTTAAGTGACACACAGTGGAGGGTATGATTTCAACGTTTGATATGAGAACTTGTTGAATTGATAAAAAAAGAAAACTTAAACTCTTACTGTGTCTTAAATGTGTCAGAAGTTCACCCTTCAGTATTCAGGATTGTAAATGGTAAAGATTTAAGTTCCAGCTTCACCTGTGCAAAATAAAAATAGAATATTCTTGTTTTTAGTTACAAAATGGTACGGTGATATCCAAGAATCATCCTCTCACTTTAAACAAAGATGTTGCTTTTATTCTAGACTAGGTGTCCCATTGTGAAATTCATTTCTGTCTGCCTTTTTCCTTTTGAGTACAGGTACATACACATGTAATGAATGTGTACAAGAGTGTAGAGGACCTTGAAAGTATTCTATTGAGTCTGTAAACTAGAAAATCAGAGCAGAAAAGACCTATTAAGGATTATTGCCTGGAAACAAATTGCACTAAGAGGAAATCAATACAGTTTAACAACACAGCAGATGCAGGGTGTAGAAAGTTCCTGTTGTGGCCACCAGGGGCGACATTGTATACGTCATGTGATTACAAACAGTAGCTGGACCAACCCACGTGCTGAAGTCAAACTGGAGGGATTGTCGTTAGTTGATGGAGAAAGTTAATGTTGCAACCAGTCTAAAATAATTGTAATTCAGCAAAAGAGATTGTGGATTCATCTGAACAGGAAATGGACACCCTGAGGTGATCAAATCTGGCTGTCCAAGCCTCAGGTAATAATGACATAATCACCTCTTAAATGTGAATCTGGACTGAGTTGAAGTCGCTGCTACAAAAGGAAGTAAATTAATATTCAAAGACATGACGGTGGAGCGTCTCCTTCACAGATGGACACAACCATGAAGGCAACAAATCACATAAACTAAGATCTGGGTGAAACATTTGGTAGTGTGTTGATTTTTTTTTTCTGCAGGGTTTGCCTATATTGCTTTTGCAAACGTTGTCTTCGCTATTGTAATAAACCTGCAGGTGGGCCGTGCTTTAGTCCAAACTCCGAATCTGACCCCCTTGTCTCTCTGTTGCACCTGGAAGAGTCACGGCAGCAGCCCCCCCTCAAACACATCACTCAATTTGGTAAGTCTTCTTGACCATCAGTACATTTCCTCACCCTGATGCCTCACAGTACCACATTCTGTTACCTGGACCTCTGTGAAGTAAGTTTTTCTTTATTTCTCTCTTCATGTATTTACTCTGATCATTATTAGACTGAGGTGTGTTTGATGTTAAAGAGAACTAAGCTCTTATACGAGAAATACATTAAACTAGCAGGAAACGGTTCTTGATTTACTTTTATTTCCTGAAGAATAAACATAGACACCACACTTTAATAATAGAAATAACAATAAGAGGGGTTCCGGTGGCCTAGTGGGTAGAGCACGCGTCCCATGTACAGAGGCTCGAGCCTTCCAAGCGGGCGGCCCGGGCTCGAAACCCGCCTGTGGCTCCGTTCCTGCATGTCGCCCCCCCCTCCCCCCAACTGTCTCACTCCCTGGCTTCTGACTATCCACTCCTATTTCCACATTAACAGAATATAACCTCCCCCCTGACACACACACCCATAACAGTTAGATTGCTTGTTTGTGGTTGCTTACAACCTCAATGTGCTCTGCTTTTGGAGTGTAGCCATTGCACAGATTATTGGCTCAGATTTTTTGAAAGCCATCCATTAAAAGCTTTCACTTTGGAGGAAAGAATATGAACTGTGGTATGAATCATTAATGGAGATCTAGCGTTCTGTTTACAATTTACTCGCCTTGATTTTTTTTAATGAATGAAGCTTGTTTTTTTTAATGTTCAGGATAACATATTGTTCAGTGTTGTTTCTAGTTCTTGCCTCATAAAATGTAGAATCTTATAAGAGTAAGAAAACAGTTCCTTAGCAAAAGTCTTAGCTGAACATTTCCACTTGGTGTCACTGCAGCGCTGATCCTCGTGAGGTCCCGTTCACAGAATGACCTCTGGTTTGACTCACTGTTCAAAAAGCTCAGGCTGTCACAAATCATGCTCAATGAAAACTCATGTATAAACAACCTTATTAGCAGTAAATGCAGGGTGTATTGAAGTGTCAGACTTGGTATATAATCTGGGACTTTTCTAGTTTTGTTTATTTTATATTAAGGAAGCAATAATTAAACTTCGATACATCAAGTCTGATTTATTTCTAGAGCACATTTCTGCAATAATGCAATTCAAAGTGCTTCACACAAGACATCATAAGCATCAAATGAAAATTTACCAATCACAGAGAAGATATATTTTAAAATATGTTTAAAAAAGATCTTAATGAAATACAGAAAAATGTCCATTAAGTGGAAAAAAGACGTAAAAATACAAAATATGTAAATGACCTCTGATTTGTAATGGAGATGTTATCTGCTCTGCGCTCCTTTCAATGTCACATTGCTCTGAAATCCTTGACTTCAGAGTCTTATCTTCATGACGGGCACAGATTCACATGCTGCTTCTGCCTAATTGAGATCGATTAAGGCTCACAGTTTGCTCCTTCTGTGTCGAGCACAGCCCTAAGGCGCCCTGGAAAGCGCACCCAGGGGTGCTGTGGTGGTGAGAGTTGTTGAAAATGCAAATAGACAAATCAACAAGTATAAAAAAGACAGAAGAAAAGAATAGAGAAAAAGGCTAAAAGAGAGAGTTCGAATGAAAGACGACATAATTATCACCTTGTTTTTTCTCAGCCTGGTTTACTTCGTGTCACTTCAGAGGCGGTTGTCATTAAGTTTGTATCTTTAACACATCGAGTAGGGGATGCCAGATCTTGCTGAAGTGCCTCAGTGAGAGCCAAATCTCTCTGAATGACTGAGTCTTTAACTATAATAAGTGTGTTGGATATCAGTTGTTGTTGTTGACATTAATTAAAGCTTCTGTGAGGAACTTTAATTTTGTGTTGATTTTGTCGCCCCCTGTGGACAAAGTTATCACCTTGCCGATCTTTTCCTGTACATGTGTGCGTTGTGTTTTTTAACCAAAATGATCATCCTGCAGTCACACCCCATTTATCTTTGCCATGAAAAATGAAAAACAAAAGCTGTTTCTGAAGCATGCCTTTAATCTTCTTGTCTGACACCAACCCCGCAGCAGAGTTTACAGGAATTAAAAATAACTGCATGGAAATAATCAATAATCTCACCGATGGTATCTCCTGCATTTTGAGGTTATTTAAAGTCATCAGCGTTCATTTCAGTGTAATTCATAAACAGCAAAAAAAAACTCCTCACTGGAGCTTTAACCCCCTTCTGGTTCCCCGACGGCATCAGAAGGCGGCAGGTTGCAATATTACAAACATTTTGATAAAATTCAGAATCGATAAAATGTCAGAAAGGAGTTTACTTAGAACTATAAAGAAACTGAGCTTCTTTTTTTCACACAGTGGGGATACATCTGGAGGAAACATGTTTGTTTGAGACGTGAGAGCATGATGATGATGACGTTGATGATGAAGCTATTTCTGATAATGCTGTTGACGATGATTACATAAAAAAAAAAATACAAGGTGCACCGGTGGTGTTGTGATTAAGTGCACCCCCGTGTACGGATGCTGAGATCCTCCAAGCAGAGGATGTCGTTCCTCACTGTCTCTCTCCCTGGTTTCTGACTCTATCCACTGTCCTTTCTCTACAATAACATATTTAAAACCAACAACAATTAAATTAACAAAATAAACAAGAAAAAGAAAATCGATTCTGCACACCCTGTGCGTTGCCTTTGTGCACCGCCTGTTAGCAGCTGTCTCTGATTAGACTTGAAGCTAACTGTTAGCACATTGTTTCCTCCCTTCTAGACCCTTACTTGTGTTGTTCTGACTCTCAGGTGGAATTTACTTTGGACAAAAGCTTCTGCTGAGTGAAATTTGACATGTGTTGACTTCTGACCAGTTAGAATACTCATGTCTTTATCTATATATTCTTTTCTTTTCTTCTTGTTCATAAGATGTCCATCAACTGGATGATATTTATTGGTGATATTTACATCATTTTAAATCTCAAACTTTCTAACTAATCCGTCATGATTGAAAAGTTTCCATTCTCCTGATTTAAAGAAGCTGAACACACGCACAGGTGATGACTTGTTATTGAGAAAACTCTGTATCAACCGGTGCCTCTGTTTTTTGTTCTCCTTATCTCCTGAAGACACACACACCAGCAACGCAGGCTGCTTCTCCTCCCCTGCCCCCACCCAACCCTCAGACCAGAGGAGAGCCACTGACCTGCTAACTCACACAGCCATATGGTACGGCCCGGGACGAGACTCCATACAGTAATTAGGGGGATGGTGCTGGACACTTTGCTCTGCCCCTGCAGCAGCAGCAGCAGCAGGTTTGAGACGCACAACTCCTCTGAACATCAGTGATATTCTCTGGAAGAAAACCAAAAACCCCTCACAGGTACGTTTGTTGTTAAGATGGAGCGGTGACAAAAACTAAGCAGCTTTGTTGTTACGCTGCTGCACTCATTGTTTCAGAAGCAGGCTGATTGTTTGTTATGGTCTCAACCCACCCAGGCTACGTTTGGGGAGTACACAGAGGTCTCTACAAATAAACAGACTGTCAAACACACACACACACACACACACACACACACACACACACACACTCACACTGTGACATTTTCACCTTTGCCCCTGAGTCTGCCCCTGAAGCCTTTATCTCGCTCGTGCAGAAATGTCACTAGAAGGAGACTTTAAATGAAAACTGTTTGATTACACGATTGCCTTCTTCCTTCTCTGAATTTATCAGCGAGAGAAAACGATGCAGAAATGGTGGTGCGGGGTGGGGGTGGGGGTGGGGGGGGGTGTGGGGTTTGACTATCTTGATACAGCATTGCATCAGCATCTAATCTGCCTCATTTCAAACGTGTTTGTCACGTTATTATTGGAGGATCTTTAGGATGCTTGATTCAGCACAAATTTTAAGATTCACAGTCCTGCAGCTGAAGCATTTTGCAGTTCAGTTGAAAAGACACACAGAGAGCTCTCCCCCCCCGTTTGGCCGCTGCTGCCCGTCGCTGCCTCAACCTCGCTCTGACAAGGAGATGAGGGGGGTAAGGAGGGCGGGGGGGGGGGAGAGAGATAGGCTGAGTAGAGCTGTGTGTGTGTGCGAGAGAGAGAGAGAGAGAGAGAGAGAGGAAGAGGGGGGTTGGCTTTAGTCTGATGTGAATGGAATAGAATCAGCAAGAGAAAGAGGGAGGAGGACGGCACAAATCAACCTGCCTCTTGACTTTAACAACAGAATAAGAAGAGCCGGCTCAGACGCCACAGAGATCGAGGAAGTGTGCTTTATTCGTGTGCGTGTTCTCTGAATTTTATTTTCGGAGAGAGGAAGAGAGAGAGAGAGAGAGAGAGAGAGAGAGAGAGAGAGATCACCAGACAGGAGGAGGAACTGAAGCAAGAGGAGGAGGAGAACGAGCCTCGCCGTGGAGATAGATAGCAGAAAAATGCTGTCATGGGGAGAGCAGGGGAGGGAGTCGGCAGAGAGAAACAGGATGAAACAAGGCAGGGTCGAGCGGAGCTGAAATGTGGAGGTAAGCCTTTTCTTTCGCTGTGTTCAGGGCTAACGGGGGGAATTCACATTCCAGCCTTCCTGTGCCCTCTTTCTGATGGTAATGAATTCAGAGAGATGGATGTGCACACCGCGAACGCCACATACCTCCGTACAGGCGATCTCAAAGCCAGTCAGAGACAATGTGTGTGAGCAGCAGAGGAGATGAAATAATGGCTTTTTCATTATCATATCGCCGTCCTTACTCTTCTTTACCCATTTTGGTTGATGTCAGCTCGTGGAAAATGATTGCACACACTTAACGAAGGGGCCCTGAACGTCTCATTTACACACAACATTTTAGGTTTGAATCCAGCTGACAACCTTTGTCGCATTTTTATCCCCGGCCTCCCCACCACCACCACCTCCCCTCCTCCCTCTCCTCCTCCTCCTCCTCCTCCTCTCTCCGACACTAACCCCCCCATCATCTTTCCTGTGTCTCCTTTCATTGTGCTTGCACTTCTCCAACCCTAGGCAGGCGGAGATCGTCTCAAAATGCAGTGTTTTGACATTGCCCAGAAGAGGCGGCTGCTAAAAAAACCTTGCCTGTGCCCGTGCCTGTGTTGGAGCGCTCGTGGCTGCAGGACTCAGAGAGATGAGGGCAAGGTGGGGGGAGGAGGGGGGGGGGGGGGGGGGGGGGGAGGGAGGATAGGCATGGAGGGATATTGAGAGAATGAAAGAGAGACAGAAGATTGCAGGAACAAAAAAGAAGGAGCCGGATTTATTGTACGAGATGCCTTTCTCTGCTCGTTGTTTTTGATAGGATCAGAAAAAGGGGAATCAGTGTGTATGTGTGTTGATGAGCAGCATTGTTACACTGCTGCATGTGATAAAGAGCACAAACAATGATGGAATGGAGAAGCACCACCGGAATTGGGGTGTTGTTTTCCAGGTGGCAGAGAAAATGAGGGATGCGGGGAGTCAGAACCCCCCCCCCAACCCCCCAAACTGCACCCTCCTCACTCGCCTCCTGCACCCTCTAATTTAGGACGAGGCTGATGTGTGTTTACGAGACATTAAGGGTTTCAGGGGATGGGATGGATAGGCTGCTGAAGGGAAAGAAAGGCAGGGATGGAGAGCTGCTAGGGGGGTTGGGGGGGTGGGGGTGGTGATGGGGGGGGGGGGGGGGGAGCAAGCAGCAGCGGCTTACATAAGCCAGTGCACTCAAAGGACGGGCCATTTAATTTACATTGAGCCGCGCGGCTCCTCGTGCAGTGCGGTGCTCGCTGTGGTTTGACATTAGCATTTTAAACAATATAAATGCAGTTGGAGCCGATGCGATGGAAGGAAGGATGTGAGCGGGGCTGAACGTGACCTGGTGGCTTTGTGTTGATGTGTTTGTGTTCCTGGTGAGGCTGGCAGGAGGGTGGGATGTTTTCCATCAGGGTCAACTTTGAATGCACAATCCTAAAGTGCAATGTGTTTCAACTCCAGCACTGTTCCCCCCTGTACCTTACAGTTATTGTCTGCATGAGGTGAACTGACATAACCGTGCTAACAGCATGCAGCCCATTCATCCAACTCAGCTGCTGTAGACTGTAGTTCTACTTTGTACTGCATTAACAGTGTATATCAAATATAGTCAAATTCTCAGCCGGAGCTAACACTACAGTAGGCCCTGACCGATAGAGAATCATATTTGATGTACAAGCCAACCATTACCAGAATAACTTAAGCCATTGTTCTCCTTGAGTCCATAATTTAAGCTTCCTTGCTTAAAGGAAAATGAATGATAGATTTATTTTTGCTTCATTACGTGCCCTCTCTACTTAAAACATGTTTTTACACAAGTGAAGCTGAAAGAAATGCACTCTGCTGGTGAAGTAGTTAAACTATTAGCACCAATTGCTTTCCATTATTTCCCCAATGGAATCATCTCAATGACATGTTTGACAATCACATGCGTGTGTGTGTGTGTGTGTGTGTGTGTGTGTGTGTGTGTGTGGTTTCAGTGTTCAGAGTTTCATCTTTAGTGTTGACTAGAGATAAGAGATTAGATTTCAGCCGCGACGTTATTATTTTTATTACAGTATTCTTACTTTTGATCATTTTCCTGACTGCTTACGTCATAAATCAACAGAGTGCAAGTAGACTTGCAGACGTGTGTGTGAATGGTTTGTTGTGCTTTGACCAATTGTTGCTTTTTCAATTATCTGAAAGCTTTCTTTTGTATTCGTTTTTATCAGCATAAACCAGATGTTTAAAATCGTGAACACACAGACAGTCTTGTTTTCATATATTCTGACTTTCTGAATCTTACACACTGGTCTGCTCTTCAGATGTATTTAACACAGGCAGACAGACAGACAGACACACACACACACACACACACACACAGATAGATTGTATGAAAATGTTGATGCAGTCAGAGGAAGCTCCAGCTAGCTTTCTGTTACCTTCAGATGAATTGTTGTCACTTGAGTGGTGTAAACAAAAACTGCCTATTGGATTAATTGTGTATTCATTAGAAACACGTTGTGAGTTCAGGTGTCACTGAAAACATGAATACAGCAGAAAGACAAAGACACTGTAGTTATAATGAGCTAATAACGCTCTTATTTATTGCACTTCTTGGCATATTTTTCTCATATCGTACAGGACTTAAGATAGATCGAGTTGATATATAGATGTTGTATATAAAACATGATTACATTGTCCAGCACACATCCAGAGATAACAGACGTAAATTAGCACCACGTTATAGCTGGTGCTGTCCATCACTGTTGTTGTTGTATTATTGTAAACTTTATTAGGGATTCAAATTGTTCAAAATCTGTTATTGCCAATGGTTTGGAAACTGTGATATCTGGAACATTTGTGAGTCCGATCTGTTTGTGACACATTCGATACACTTTAGACTTCAGTCCTGGTGAAGCTTCTGTCGAGACTGAGGTCACTTTGAGAACGAGTAAAAGTCTAACAATGTCGATCCCTGTGTCGACACCGTTGGAACGAAACAATAAGAAGCTTTTGGTACTTTTTATCAAATGCAAAAACAACAGAGAATGTGTAGTTTTAAAATACACAGTTGGCCAGCTGGGTGTCAATCTGTTCCTTCAGTTCAGCAGCAGCAGTCAAAAAGGAGTCGCCTCAGTTATTTGACATGTTTAAAATGTGAAACTGGACCCTTTTTGTTGTTGTCCAAGCGCATAGATAAAATCAGAAATGTCCAAACGACCATAAAAATAGCCAACCTGCCCGGGTCTTATTGTTCATAGTGCAAAAATACACAACCCAGGGGTGTGTTTTCCTTTGAGAGGCCTGTGTGGGACTCGTACTATTCCAGGTTGAGTAGGAGGGGAGCGGAGTCAGAGGAGACTCTTGAATCGATCGGCCTACTTTTATTTCCTCCACCGAACAAGCACCAGGAGAGCCTGCCTGCGTACATGTGTGTGTGTTACGTGTTCTTATTGTCTGGCAGGGAGGTAATGCCATTAAAATAATCCTTAATGCTCCCTCTCTCTTTGTTTATGCCGACTGTAACCCCCCCTCCCCCCACCCCCCCTGACGTCATGAACCACTGTCGTTGTTGTGAGATGGAAAGATCTAGAAAGGGTGATGTTTTTTTTTTTTGCTGTTTGCCCCTCTGTGAGCATGAAGGATGAAGGATGAAGTTTGGTGACAGTTTGTTAGCAGCAGCGCACAGTTATTCAGTCCCTGTCGGGGACATCAGATCAAACTGATGTCTCCTGTTGCGGTTTGCCTGCAACATTTTAACTTTGGATCATGTCATTTATCCTGCTTCTCTCAGAACGATCCAGCTCGAACAAATATCTTCCAACAGTGAAATCCTGTAGTCTACACTGAACAAAATGAGGAAGTGAAAGGCCCCAATACAGTTTTTTCTAAAGGCACCTTTACTTTGAATCAAAAGTTCTGAATCAAGCACATTCACGAGCAAAATGTTCTGTTTCTACTCTCCGTCATCGAGATGAAGACAGACGATGTTGGAGGGTTACCAGGCAGATTTAGTTCTGGTCTGACTCAGCATTGTAGCCTTCCTCTCATTTGGAGCCATTTTGCATGGCTACACCCCGGCAGGCTCCCCGTGGGGGGGCTCAGCGAGGGAGGCAGTTGGACAGGCGGAGCCGGATGGCATGATGCTGGCAGAGTAAAGCCTCTGGGTGGATCCTCTTAGCGAGTGCTATGTGTTGTCACCTGTCCCCCGTTGGCTTCTGGTCTTAACAGAAGATCAGGCCTCGCTGGTTTTATCTGAGGCTGATTCTGTCCAGTCGGACGCACCAATGAGGAAAGGGAGAATGACTCAGTCAGAGCTTCAGAAACAGTACACATTTGAGATGAATAAGAATGTAATCTGTTAGATTTGGATTATATCAGGAATTACATCTTCTCTTAGTTAAAGTCTTTTTTTAAAGATTTCAGCCATCAAAGCGTCCCCTGAATGATTTTAAAACTCTGTGTCTGCACAAAACAATCCTGTTAGATGTTTAATATGACACAAAGGAATGGTGGTCATTAATATCCTTTTGCAAAACCCATCATCCATTTGAGAGTGAAATCAAGGATGATGAACAAAGACATAGGTAAGCACAAAAAACATAATCACTATTGATGAATGATATTTTAGACCCATTTTCAAGAAATGGATTTGTTTTTTGTCATTTATATTTTGTTTGGGGAGTGTGAAAGCAAGATAATAAGACACTGATAGGGATAGTCTGATAGATATGTGGAAGCTGCAGCCTCCTTGAGACATATTAATGTAAGCGTCCGCCTGACGTTCCTGTCTGTTTTATTTAATACACATGTTTGAAATAAATCAAGGGTCACACAGTGAAGCCCATATGAGCTTTTTGTCCCACTCAGTTATGTCATACATACATTAAACCATTAAGCGGAGCAGTGGCTCCTTCTCATTGTTCACGCTGCTATTACAGGAGAAGTGCACTCGAGGGTATTTAGAGCCACTGAAAGCAGACCAGGAGAGACCAATCTCGCTCAGGCCACGTCACTCCCATCGCC